CCTATTATGCTTAGGTTTCATCTTTTCATAGTGTCCCAAATTTCTTGGATGTTTACTCTCAGGAAATTTTTAGATTTAACATTTTCCTTGACCCACGTACCAGTTTCTTCAATTGTATTTTCTACATCTGAGTTTCTCTGCTCCATCTTTTGTATTCTGTTGGTGATGCTTCTGTAGTTCCTGTTCTCTTCCATAGCTTTTCTGTCTGCAGAATTCCCTCATTTTGTGTTTTCTTTATTTATTCTATTTCCAGTTTCAGGTCTTGAACAGCTTTATTCATTCTCTTCACCTATTTGATTGTATTCTTCTGTATTTCTTTGCGGGATTTATTCATTTCTTCTTTAAAGGCCTCTGTCATTTTTATAAGATTGGATTTAAGGTCATCTTCTTGTGCTACAGCTGTGTTACGATATCCAAGGCTTGGTTTAGTAACGTAGCTGGGTTCTGATAGGACCAGATTGCCCTGGCTCTTGTTGATTGTATTCCTAAACTGCCCTTTAGCCATCTAGTTGCCCTCATGACAGCTGGTCATCAGAGATGGAAGCAGAGGAGCAGCTGTGGTTTACTTTAGGGGTACTTGGCAGGCAGAGGACTGGTGGGGAGAAAGTCTCACCTGGTTGTTCCTGGGACTGACAGGCCTCCTCGGGAAGGCAGACATAGCCCTGGCCAATAGGATGGAGCTCACTACTGCTTGTTGTGACCTAGGAGTGTCCAGGCACGCAGCGTTGGGGGGAAGGAAGTAACTTCGATGTTCCTGGGGCCTAAAGAACCTCTTAGGGAAGGCAGGTCTCCTGGGAAAGGCAGACAGAGACCATGGCCTAGAGGATGGAACTGGATGTTCTCTAAATAAGATTTTAAAAACCATAACATCTCTGCCTTAGGCTTTAATTGATCATCGTGGGATATTGCAACACATTTGCAGCCAGTCAAAAATTTGACGCTTACTTTTTGGTATTTCGAGAGTGGAGATGTTATTTGCAGCTCTGTGCTATTCATATCCATATGTTACTACCATAAAACAAATCAAGTATGTGCGGAGTTTTCAGAGGCAGCTATTAACTGATGTTCTTTCTTAGATGAAAATCACTAAACAAATGGAAAGCTGCATAGGCTAAGATAATGCCAATAGTTTGAGAACACTCTTGTTTTAGTTATAGATGGATTTTTTTTGCTTTTATTTTATATGTATATGTTTGTGCACAAAGTTCCAGTAGAGGTAAAAAGATGGATCAGAGCTTTTGGAATTGGAATTATAGCTGATTAATTGTGAGTGCTGGAGACCAAACTTGGGTTTCCTGCAAGAATTTGAGCTCTTAATCTTTGAGCCATCTCTCCTCTGAATTTTTTGTTTGATTTGAAACAGGGTATTGTTATTATGTAAACTAACCTACAATTCAAGATCCTCCCACCTTAAACTCTTGGAATGCTAGAGTTGCTGGGAGCAATACCACAGCAGGCCTAAAAAAAACTCCTGGTGTGGTTAATATTTATTCTTATTTCTAAGGCCTATTTTACAAAAGACATGTAAGGGCATATCACACCATAATGTTGATGATGAGAGCCAGGAAGAGCATTAGGCTAATTGATTTTTCTCATTTATACAAATACACGCTTTTTGTTTTCTTCTGAGATATCTCCTGTATCTCAGGCTGGCCTCTTTGTAACCAAAGATGACCTTGAATTGATGCTTATGTCTCCTGGTTGTTTGGATTACAGGTGTGTACCATACACCCAGTTATGCCGTTTTGGGAATTGAGCCCAAGGCTTCATACATCTGAGGCATGCACTGTACCAACTGAGCTATGTCTCCATCTCATAGGTCTCATATACAGTCTCTTGAGTGTTTTTGTTTCATTTCATTTTCGAAGGACATGAGAAATATTTCATTCAGGACATCACAACCTTGACTTAGGTTTTTTTCTCCCTCTTATCACAGTAATCTTCCAGGGACACAGTCAGGCAAAATTTTATAAATAGTGAGACTTGATCCCTCAGATTATTTGCTCTGAGGATCTTCATTTTATAGATTGCTTAGTCTGCTTTGTTGCAGCTAATTATTGTAACACAGTAAGGACCAGTATGCATTTTATCTCTCCAGTTCCTCATGGATTATCACAATTCAACGTAATAGACATGTATTAGGTGCTCTGTCCAGTGTACCACATAGTAACTACAGAAAACATCTGTTCTTTGTCATCAAGGAGTTGAATCTGTGACTACCTTCTTTCAAAGCCACAGCTATACAAGGCCAAAATGATTTTTTTTAATTTCAAATGACTGAAGTTACTTTTTTTTTTAATTTTTTTTTTACACTTTATTCAATTTGTATCTCCCCATAAGCTCCTCCTCCTCCACTCCTGATCCCACCCTCTCTCCCCCGTCTTCACACATGCCCCTCCCCAAGTCCACTGATAGGGGAGGTCCTCCTTCCTTCTGATTTTAGTCTATCAGATCTCATCAGGAGTGGCTGCATTGTCATCTTCTGTGGCCTGGTAAGGCTGCTCCCCCCTCAGGGGGAGGTGATCAAAGAGCAGGCCTATCAGATTATGTCAGAGGCAATCCCTCTTCCCATTACTATGAAACCCACTTAGACACTAAACTTCCATGGATTACATCTGTGCAGGTGTTCTAGGTTATCTCCATGCATGGTACTTGGTTGGAGTATGGGTCTCTGGGAAGACCCCTGTGTTCAAATTTTCTGGTTCTGTTGCTCTCCTTGTGGGGTTCCTGTCCTCTCCAGATCTTACTATTTCCCACTTCTTACATAAGATTCCATGCACTCTGCCCAACAGTAGGCCATAAGTCTCAGCATCTGCTTTGATAGTCTGCAGGGCAGAGCCTTTCAGAGGCCCTCTGTGGCAGGTTCCTAGGTTGTTTCCTGTTTTCTTCTTCTTCTGATGTCCATCCTCTTTGCCTTTCAGGATGGGGATTGAGTGTTTTAGTCAGGGTCCTCTCTCTTGATTAATTTATTTAGAAATACAGAGTTTAGTAGGTCTATCCTGTAAGTCTATATGAGTGAGTATATACCGTGTGTGCCTTTCTGCTTCTGGGACAGCTCACTCAGGCTGAACCTTTCCAGGTCCCACCATTTACCTGCAAATTTCATGATTTCCTTATTTTTCATTGCAGAGTAATATTCCATTGTGTAGATGTACCACAATTTCTGCATCCATTCTTCAGTTGAGGGGCATCTGGGCTGTTTCCAGCTTCTGGCTATTACAAATAAGGCTGATACAAACATGGTTGAGCAAATGTCCTTATTGTGTACTTGAGTCTCTTTTGGGTATATGCCTAGGAGTGGTATGGCTGGATCTTGAGGAAGCGCTTTTCCTAGTTGTCTGAGAAAGCGCCAAATCGATTTCCAGAGTGGTTTGTACAAGTTTACATTCCCACCAGCAGTGGAGGAGGGTTCCCCTTTCTCCACAACCTCTCCAACATGATTTTTAAGGAAGATGACTAATCACAAGGCAGGCAAAATGGTTCTTGCCACCACATCTAACTACCTGAGTTCCATCCAGGGGTCCCACATGATGGAAAGCAAGAACTTACTCAAGCAAGTTGTCCTCCAACCTGTGTACATGGTTGTTGACTTGTGCCTGCTCTGACCACCACCACACACGAATAAGTGTTTTAAAAGGATGCTTAACCACAGGCCGTAGGAATAAAAAAACAAAGTCTGCCAGGGAAGAATGGGTATTTTTTTGGCAGAATCAAAATCTTGACTTGGGGTCTTAAAGAAAGAGGTGGAACACATGCCTTTCCAGATATGGCTCTAACAGTGATTTTTACATGTTTCAAACCTGTAATTGAATGTACAGAGATGACTTAGTAATTGGAATATGGCATGTCGTTTGCCTCCAGAGTCAGTAATCCTGCTGGTCATACGTGGTTGTTTTACATAGTGTTTTAGCCTCTTTAGCTACTAAAATAAGTGAATAATTTCCATTGATTTTTAATATTTATGTTGATATGCTAGAGAAAGGTGAAGAATTATTCATGTATCCATTGATCCAGGTGTAGTTCCCCACACTTGTACTTGAAAGCACTGAGGAAGTGGAAGCAGGACTTCCAGTGTTCAAGGTCAGCCTCAGCCACATAGTGAATTTGAGATCAGATTAAGTTACTTGTGATTATGTCTCAAATGATTACAGTGATGATGATACTAATATTTATCGAGCACCTACTGTGTACCAGGCTCACTTTTATGTGTTCCTGTTACAAAGACAAAATAGCCAACAATTTCTGTTCTTGTGGAACCTATATTACTTGCAGTACATAATAAACAGTAAATAATATATCTAAAATATTAAAATGTGATGGAAATAGGACAGGATGAGATTATTAATGAGGGACTCAATGGGAACAAGTAGGAATAGTGTGTGTTCATTAATGTATACTGTGACTCATTTTTTTTAGCTTAGGTCTCCTGAAGGCCTATTTAATTTCTTAAAAAGTGTGTGTGTGTGTGTGTGTGTGTGAGAGAGAGAGAGAGAGAGAGAAAGAGAGAGAGAGAGAGTATGTTCATGATGGTGGGGAACACATGCCATAGCATACTTGTGGAGTTTAGAGGACAACGTTGTGGAGTAGGTTCCCCTTTTCCTCCTTTACTTGGGATTATGTGAGTAAACTCATATTATTCGGCTTGCATGACCATTGGCAAGTACCTTTTTACCTGTCAAGCTGTCTTGCCAGCCTTTGAAGGACTCTTTCTGATTACTCTGGGATCTAGGTAGTCTGAATCTGGTGTTCAGTTTATCCCAGAAAAAAAAAATCTTCTCTGCTCACTCCAGTCCCCTAAGTGGACGACAAACTATAGTATTACCGTTCTGAATCTTGGCACTTAAAAATCATGAAGCCATGCTTGGGTATAGGGCCTCTAGCTGCTCTGTGAGGGGTCAGATAATAACTTGTGAAGCACACTTAAAAATATGAAACCTCTCCTTCTGGCGTTCCAGTTATTAGCTCATCTCTGGTAATAACAGGTTTTTCTATCTTTGCAGTGTCACGGGCTTTCTGTGGAAGGTTTTGTTCTTCCTTCTTCAACTACTAGGGAGGTAAGATTTTTGTCTTACATTTATTTGAAATGTAAAGCTTGCCATCTGAAATACTCGGTTTTCAATTATTGAATTGATGTTATTGAAACGAAATATATTATATTACACAATAATAATATGGTGCTGGGGAGTTGGCTCAGTCAGTAAATTTCTTTGCTCTGCAAGCGGGAGTACCTGGATTTGGATCCCCAGCACCCAAGTTGGCCATGGCTGTGCAAACCTGTAATGCCAGCAGGTAGATTCCAGGGGCTTGCCGCCCAACTAGTCTAGCTGAAATGGACTGTTGCAGATTTAGTGAGAGACCCTGTCTTAAAAAAAAAAAAGGGGGGGGGGGGGGGGAAAGAAAAACAAAAAAAAAAAAAAGGGGGGGGGGGGGGGGGGATAGAAAACCAATTAAGCAAAAGATATTGACAGGCAGTGGTGGCACAAACCTTTCATGCCAGTACTTCGGAAGCAGGTAGAGTTTGAAGCCACCCTAGTCTACAGAGCAAGTTCTTGGACAGCCAGGGATACACAGAGAAACCCTGTCTGGAAAAAAACAACACCTCAGACGTCAGCTTCTGGCTTCCACATGAGTCTATACAGAATATACACTCTCCACATGCACATCGTGCACGTGAGCAAGTATGTGTTGTGATAAGAATAGTTCTTTATAATAGTTGATTAAGTTATTTCTATATGAGACTAGGAGTTGGAGACAGCAACAGGGGTACAAGAGTAAGAGTGAACGGTTTCTGACCTTCTCCCATCTCTTTCACCCCGAACTTTCTTGAATAGGACACCTGTAGACCTCTGCTGATTTTGACTTCTAATTATACTTTAGAGTTACATGAACTCTCTTGTCCAGTGTAGTGAATTAGAGTTTCTAGAGAGGAAACCTGAGCATTTGTAATTTTTTAAATCTATACATAACCGTGGTTGGGAAACACTGCCGAAAACAATAGACACAAATTATCAGATGTTTTTGTTTTCCTTTTGTACTAACAAACTAGGACTAGTAGGTTTAGAGGGTATAAAATTCTCAAAAGCTGGACTTGTTGCAATATCAGCAGGATGTGCCAGTACTAAAAACTAATGAGTGTGATGTCTCAGACCCTTACTGTTGCGTAGGTGCCTTTTCTGTAGTACAGAATACCATGCTACCTGTGTATTTCAACAAGTACATTCTGTGCATTTGAACAGTGTTGGAATATTAATAGTAATAACATAAACCTAATACCTTTAAGAATCCTTCACATTATTTAATTTGGTTTTCTTCTTTCTTCTTTTTCTGTTGTTGTTTTGTTTTGTTTTTGTTTTTCAAGACAGAGTTTCTCTGAGTAACCTTGGCTGTCCTTTGTAGAACAGGCTGGCCTCAAACTCACAGATTGACTTGCCTCTGCCTCCCCTAGTGCTGGGATTACAGGCCTGTGCCACCTGCCCAGCTACTTTTTTTTTAAATTTGATTTTCAGCCCAACTTTGTAAGATACATAAGTAGAGACTGTTTTTCCCAGTTTATAAATAAGGAAACAAACTTAGAGATTGATTATCCAAGGTTATTTTACTGCTGTCACAAGTTTTGAACCCAAGTCTTTAGACTCCAAATCTACTTCTATAAAATCGATACAATTTTACCAAAAACATTTCTCAATCTACTTTTCTCCAAAATAAATGCATTTTTATAAAAATAAAATGTTTTTTTTCTTACACCTACCTCTAGCTCCCAAATAATGAAATGGAGACTTATTAAATTTATTAATAAGCTTCAAACACTATAGTAGGGCAGATACTCATCTATTCTAACCCATCTATGCTGGTCTGGACTATTTACCAGCCATGTGCCCCATTACCTGTCATCTAGTCTCACCTTGGCTGCTCCTACTCCATCTGTGTCCTTTTGGCAACTCTCTCATGGCAGCCTCCTCATGGCCACCTCCTCACTCCCTGGTGACCTTCTCTTCGACCCTTTTCTTGTCTCTCTGGGGACCCCTAACTGGTATTGGAAGTTTCACCTCAGCTCTTCTTTCTTCTGCCCAGCTATTGGATTTTCAGCTCTTTATTAACCAATCAGAGATGATGGAGAACAATTTTTACTCACAACATTGAAACAGTAGATTCTTTAGTAATAATGACAGTGCCCACATCTGGACTACAACCAGATCTCTGGGTATAGAAATCAGCATCTGAATCCACAGTGTATAAAACCATCCCTCAACACGCTTTAATATTTTTAATTTAGTTTATGAGTATGAATGTTTTGCCTGCGTGTATGTACACCACATGCATGCCTGGACCCTGTGGTAATCAGAAGAAGGGGTCATATCTCCTGGAAATGGAGTTGTGAATGGTTGCAAGCCACCATATGGGTGCTGGGAATTGAACCTAGGTACTCTGAAAGAGCAGACAGTGCTCTTAACCACTGAGCCATCTCTCTAGCCCTATAGCCACATTTCTTAAGATCTATTTTATTTTTAACAAGATGTAGCTACTTCACATGATTCTATTCATCATATATATTATTTCAAGTGTGACTTGAATGTTTTCTCTAATCAGGATCATAGATTTAATCTCATAAATGGCTTCATAAAGCCTCATGAAGTTGCTATAGCCTGTCATCATCTTTGCAATCATTGACATGTTTAGATTACTTCAAGTTTTGCATGTGTGGCTGATGGTACCATAAACATACACACAGAGCTTTTTCTTCTCTGCATTATTTTCTTAGGAAAGACTCCCAAAAATAAGATTTTGTTGTAAGAGGACATTTATACTTTTATGACTCTTGTTATGAATTGCCAGATTGCCTTCCAAAATAATTAAATTAATTTCTACCATTTCATTAAAGGGGCGGAATTCAGACTTGCAGTTGTAATCGGTTTTGCTATGTTTCAAAGGAAAGGATTGATGTTCTAAGGTGATGGGATCCTTGAAAGTGATTTTCTCTTTTTCTATCACAGATGACTCCAGGCGAGATTAAATTTTCAGTTCATGTGGAGTCTGTCTTGAACCGTGTACCTCAGCCAGAGTACCGCCAGCTTCTGGTTGAAGCCATTCTCGTTCTCACCATGCTGGCAGATATTGAAATTCATAGTATTGGAAGCATCATTGCTGTGGAAAAAATAGTCCATATTGCCAATGACTTGTTCCTTCAAGAACAGGTAGGTTGCCTAATGTGGTATACACCTGCAATCACAGCATCTGGGATTTTGGAGGTAGGAGGATGGGGAGTTCAAGGGCAACCTCAGCTATATAGTGAGTTCAAGACCAACTTGAGCTACCCAACACCAAAAACATATAACAGATATTTCTTTCTCTTAGCCACCATGAGAGAAGACTTTCTAAACAGTACTAGTTTTAAATGTTTTGGAATGTTAGTCCACATATCAGAAAATATGAGATGTAGCCCATGGTAGCTCAGTATCCAAGTGGGTTCCCTAGTAAGGGGAACAGGGACTGTCTCTGACATGAACTCAATGGCTGGCTCTTTGATCACCCCCCACCCCGAGGGAGGAGCAGCCTTGCTAGACCACAGAGGACACTGCAGCCAGTCCTGAAGAAACCTGATAAGCTAGGGTCAGATAGAAGGGGAGGAGGTCCTCCCCTATCAGTGGACTTAGGGGCAGGGAGGAGATGAGGGAGGGAGGGAGGGTGGGATTGAGAGGGAATGAGGCAGGGGGCTACAGCTGGGATACAAAGTGAATAAACTGTAACTAATATAAAAAATAAAAATAAAAAAAGAAAATACGATCGCTTTTAGGCATAGACTCTAGATTTGGAATGTCTAGACTTTTTGAATTAAGGTGGTTTCAAATAAAATTTGAAGCCTAAGTCAGTAGTATTAGAAGGTGGAGGTCCCAGTGTAGTCCCACTAGGGTTATCTTCAAGTGCTAACATTCTCTTTTATATACAAATGTGAATCATTTAATCAGTTATTAATTGATATTTTATTTCTAAAATGCTTTATAAAATTCTAAATAGTAGCCAGGCATGGTGGCACACACCTTTAATTCCAGCACTCAGAAGGAAGAGGCAGACGGATCTCTGTGAGTTTGAGGCCAGTCTGGTCTACAAAGTGAGTCCAGGACAGCTTGGGCTACACACAGAGAAACCCTGTCTCGGAAAAAAAAATCTAAATAGTAATTAAAATAATTTAGGGAGTCTAGTGTATAGAAATTCATATCCATCCTTCACAATCCTGATCCCCTTCTGGTTAAACAGCCAAGGAACTTGTGATGGGGAGGCTGCTCTGAGATACACTCATCGGAGTTTGACTTAGGAGGATTGGTAACTTTTCCTTTCCACTGTGTTTCCCCACCCTTTCAAACCAAATAGAAAACCCTCGGCGCAGATGATACCATGTTGGCAAAGGATCCTGCATCTGGCATCTGTACTCTTCTGTATGACAGTGCACCCAGTGGCAGATTTGGCACCATGACCTACCTTTCCAAGGCAGCTGCCACCTATGTGCAGGAGCTTCTGCCACACAGCCTCTGTACCATGCAGTGATGGACGTGGGTTGTGGCTGCTGGAATCCTTTCAATATTTGGTCCATCTTGGTTGATTGTGCATGGAACTGAAATGTTAATACCTGATCACACCCCCCCATGCCCATTTCCTGCCCCATCCCTCCCAGGAAGAGAGAACTTTGGTGAGAATCTCGTTACTTTGTAAGAACCCTTACCTGGAGACCTAGCTCTAGTGTGAAGGTTCAGCCAGGCCTACAATCACTGTCTCTCTTCTTTTATGATTCATAAAAGTCTGAATGTGTTTTTACTCAGTAGAGCTGCTACCAACTTAATTTTCTAACTCCTGTAGGGGAGCACGTTTTAGTAACTTAGTCCTGAAGCTTTGTTTTCTTATTTGAGATTAGTTAGTTTGTTTGTTTGCTTGGTTTTGTGTGTGTGTGTGTGTGTGTGTGTGTGTGTGTGTATGAGTGGCGGGTATTAATTGGGCCCATTATATTAAGAAAATAGATGCTAAGTTGGAGTTTATGCTACTGTAAATTGGAAATGTCTACTCTAAGTGCCTTTATTTAGGAAAAGCTGGTACCAGATTGTGGCTTTCATCTTTGCTCAAAAGTTGCTTTGCTCTGAGTGATGAAATGGTTTCTTTGTAGAAATACTGTCCTTTCTGTACCTGCCCACAATGCCTACCCTCCCTGTGGTGAAATATTAAAAACTTTAAGCTCACATGTAAGATTTCTCTGTTAACACTTGAAGTCACAATTGAAGAGTGTTGCTGTCAGACACATATTTGAAAACACTTGGAATAACCCAGAGAAATGGAGCTAGAAGCCCAATTTCAAAGAGGAAGGGAAAGGAGATCATAGGTATTACTTTACACACAGGAGCCAAGAGACCCACCTACCAGACAGTCATGGACACTCAATCCTTGCCTCCAGAGAGTAACCTATATACAACACAGAGAGTAGCTGAAGCCTATATTGAGCAAAGAGAAATTTCATAGTCTGGTCTGTGGCTGCCCTGCTGAGCACCTCTTTCCTGTACTTTTGTTCTCCATCTCACCTAGTCACTCCCCACCACATCTAATCACCCCTTCTTAACCTCCTCCCCTGAAACATTTATTCTTCAATTCTTTTACTTACATTGGTTTTCACTATTTAATTCTAGTATTTAAATCCTTGAATCTTGGCATCTGTGACCAAATATCTATTGTTATACATACACCTGTGTGTGTTGTAAGTGGTTAAAAAATATGTAAGTATTTTTCATGTGTTTGTCTGTTTGTCCGTCTGTCTTCACATTGATGGACAGAATAAGCATGTAAATAATAGTCAAGCCAAGACTGGTCATACTCAATGCTAACCCAAGCATTTGAGAGGCTAAGGCAGGAGGATCACAAATTCAAATCCACCCTGGGTTACGTACCAAGTTTCAGGACAGCCTGAGCATGTGTTGTGTGTGGGAGAGCAATGTGGCTGGCCTCTACTACTCTACACAAAGAGTAGTAGAAATATAGCTTCCATTCTATTCCCCACTTCCACTTATAGGTAGCCTGGCTTAGTAGAGGCTTCTCCTAATTTTCCCTGTTTCTACCCAGATAATTTCCTACTCGACTCTCCTTTCCTTCAAAATTTTAAGGGTTTTCCCCCAGAACAGTAATGGGGACGTTGGAGCTAAGGAGCTCAAAACAGTCACAGAATCAAAAACACTCTTCTGAGCACACAGGCTAAGCACAGTGCGCTAGCGGACAGGTGGGGGGAACAAAGGTCAGGTAGCCCACCTGTCCCCTCCTGCAACCTATGGAAATCCACAGTCAGTAGCTTTCCGAGTGCATGATTTTCCGATAACTTTTGAGGACAGCACTCAACCTGCTCTTCACTAGTTTGTTTTCTCACAGCCTATACGTGTAGCCCCATCAGAGAGTATACCAGGCACGCAGCTGAGAGCTGCCACTCCTTCCTGGACCTCTTTTCTTGAAGTGACATTGATGCCTACATTTCTGTGGGGTTACTGATTTGTTTGTCGATGGAATGCCCAGACAGTGGTATGTAATTTCTACAGTAACTTCTCAGAAAACATGACTGATATTTTGTTCATTTTAAGAGTGTTAATGTGAAGAAAAAAGACATGCTGGGTACTTTTTTAAAGCCCATAATGCTTTCACATCAGAAAGAAGGAGTAAGAATTTACTATGTCTGATGTCACTGCACAAAACCATATGTGTTTTCATGATTGAACCGAATTCATGATTATTTCACATAATATATTTAATTATACAGTACACAAAGCTCATTAACTGGGTCAAATTAGAGTAACATTTGTATGCTGTACATTATTGTACACCACATACCATATGTAAACAAGCAGGTTTAGTGCTATCTTTGGACAGACTGTCCACTAAAAAGAAAAGATGGATTTTTGCTGTATTTCAACTCTACATAAGTGGTGTTTCTCTTTTTTTTAACATTTTTTTTTTTATGTATAGAGTGTTCTGCCTGCAGGCCAGAAGAGGGCACCAGATCTCATTATACATAGTTGTAAGCCACCATGTGGTTGCTGGGAATTGAACTCAGGACCTCTGGAAGAGGCTCTTAACCTCTGAGCCATCTCTCCAGCACCCATAAGTGGTATTTCTAAACTACTGGAAAAGAACTTAAATAGTTTTTTTTTCTCCTAAGTATTATCAATATTTCACACACTGTTTAAAATACTCACTGACTTGATCTGGGCGGAGATGGTGCATGCCTTTAATCCCAGCATTTGGGAGGCAGAGTCTCTGTAACTTCAAGGCCAGCCTGTTCTACACATTGATTTCCAGGACCATACAGAGAAATCCTATCTCAGAAAACCAAAACCAAACAAACAGAAAACCTCAATGGCCATTTCTGTAACAAGAGAGTACTTGAGTACTTATCTAGCAAGAATAAATAGTGTCTCTATTCCTTGTCTAGATAATTTGGTTTGACTGCATTCTGGGAATTTGACACAACTAGTATGGCAAAAGTTGTTACCCTTACCCATAGTCATAGTTCACAGAATCGTGTATGTGTGTGTTCATGGATGTCAAGTACCTGTGTATCATGCTGTTGCACATGCATGTGGAGGCTAAGGGTCAACCTGAGGTGTTATTCTTCAGAAGCCCCCGCTGTGTTTTCAGTAGAGTCTTTCACTGGGATCTGAGATGTACCAGTTAGACTAGGCTGAGTGGGCAGTGGACCTCAAGGATCTTGTCTGGGTCCCCAGGACCATGACCCGCTTTTTCTGTGTGTACTGGGCACCTAATTCAGGTCCTCATGCTTACATGGCAAGCACTTAACTCACCAAGCCATCTCCCAGCCCCTTAGTCTTTACTTTTTGTCCAATTGGAGTAACTGCAGATCTTGGTTTGCTCATTAGAACCCTTAGCTATACATCTTTTAATTTTTAATATCACTTTCTGTCATTCTCCTAAATGTTGTAGGGTGGATGATATGATCACCTTATCTCTAGTAGAAGTCTAGTTTCTTTTTAAGGCTGTGTCTCAAAGCCAGGAGCCTGTCCACAAAGCACAAGATGTCCTTGACATCAGTGAATGGGATTTAGAATAACACATAAAACAGATATTAGAGATGGTTGATAGAACAGTCCTTAAAACAAATAGTATGTCAGTGCTTGCCAAATGCATAGGCTTCACAGCGAACGTCTGAAGTAGGTAGAGTTGATGATCCCATCTTACTATAGGTGAGGGAGCTAAGGCACTGATGGCTGAAGTAAATTGCCCAAGATAAATTAGCTAATAAATTGCTGTTCTGGGGTTTGAACTACTGCACTGACTTTAAAGAATTTAGAGTTCTCATTTACAACAAATGGATTCTTCAAGGGAGATATGGTACGAGATGATGGGAAGACAAGGGTCAGGGTTTTGAAAGCATCAGTGAAAAGGCTGTGAACTGAGCAAAGAAAGCCAATGGGAAAGTGCTATCTTTTTTTTTTTAATTTGTATAATTCATTTCATCCAGAATTTTTACCTTATTGATTAATCATGATATCATAGAGATTTTTGGATTAGTAACATGTGTATATGTGAACATAGATGATTGCTATCATGATACATTTTAATTTTAAAAAGGCAAGTACCAAACTAAACAAGTAAATAAAATAAAAACCAAGTTCATATAGCAGAGATAATTGAACACTTTACATTTCATCTGATGTATTTAAAGAAGAAAGAGGAGGAAAAGATATAAAAGGAAAAATGGAAGTCAAAGTTTACTCATTTAACTATATGCAGCCATTTTATTTTTTGTTATTTTTATTTTTATTAATTACAGGTTATTCAGTTTGTACCCCCCCTGTACCTTCCTCCCTCCTCCCCTCCCAATCCCATCCTCCCTCTTCCCCACCCATGTCCCTCTCCCAGTCCACTGAAAAGGGAGGTCCTCCTCTCCTTCCTTCTGATCCTAGTCTATCAGGTCTCATCAGGAGTGGCTGCATTGTCTTCTTCTGTGGCCTGGTAAGGCTGCTTCCCCTCAGGGGGAGGTGATCAAAGAGCAGGCCAATTAGTTCATGCCAGAGACAGTCCCTGTTCCCATCACTATGGAGGCCACTTGGATACTAAACCGCCATAGGCTACCTCTGTGCTGGGGTTCCAGGCCATCTCTATGAGTGGTCCTTGGCTGGAGTATCAGTTTCAGAAAAGACCCCTGTGCCCAGGCTTTTTAGGATCTGTCGCTGTTCTTGTGGAGCTCTTGTCCTCTCCAGGTCTTACTGTCTCACACTTCTTTTGTAAGATTCCCTGTACTCTGCCCAAAGTTATGAGTCTCAAAGAAAGTGCTATCTTAATATATTCATTTTTCCTCTTGCTGCCTCTGCCAGCAAGGAAGGCAAAGGAGGCCCACAAAAGAAACTGTCCCATCCATTCTGACCTTGCAGCTTTAAATGTTACCTTTCTCAACAGAAGGAGAAAGCAAGTCAACTAATTGTTTAGGGCAATCACCTCCCCTACCGACTGTTTGTCCCAGCATAGGGTACCCTAAAATTTTTGACTGGGAAAAGATCATTGATTATTTTTGCAATATATATAATGTGTATAGTAACCCTTCTTGAAACTCTGCTCGTCCGATTTTTTGTTTTAACTCAATGGTCTCTTTTTTGTCTCCTCTCTGGAATTAGCCTCTCCTCCTAGTACCACACATAGGAATATCAAATTTATTTTCTTCACCTTGGTATGGGACAGGTCTTCATAACCCCCAGTTTTTGAAAACCATCTCTGTGTAACCTCCTCTGGGGATGGGTGTTTGCACACACATATGCATACTTGGAAGCCAGAGGTTCACATCAGGTGACTGCTTCAGTCACTCTCCACCTATTTTTACAGACAAAGTCTCTTCACAGAACCTGCACTCAAGGAGATCTGCCTACTTCTGCCTCCCTAGCATCCAGATGCCAGAGAGCTGGCTTATATGTGGGTGCTGAGGATCTGAACTCAGGTAAACATGATTGTACAGCAAACACTTCACTGAGCTATCTCCCCAGTCCCAATTTCCTTTTCCACACTGGTGCTCCAAAGAGAATGAGCAGCAGGGCGGTAGGAACAGAAGTCTGGCAAGAGAGCTCAGTGGGTCAAAGGCTGGTGATGCCTAAAGTCAACACCCAGAACCCCGAGTTTAAAAGTTGAGCAGGGTGACACACACTTATGATTCCAGGGCAGGGGATAGGGATGTGGATCCTTGAGGCGAGTCTAGTCT